TCTGTGATACCAGGGATCATGAAACTTGTGTAATGCAGCTGCCTGTATCTTGCTCAAGTACAGAATTACTGAGTAAAGAACTATGAGAGCGTTGCTCCTGGGCTCTCACTCCCCTGCTACCAGGCTGAGGAGTAAAAATAAACCAGCTATGCAGAGCTGGGGTTTGTGAGTGTGTGTTTCTTGCTCTCCAAAGCTCTGAGCGGTGGGCCTGCTCTCTGCCAGTGCATCTCATCCAGTGGTACTGCAGAGAGAGGAGCAAACCCACTTTTGGGGGTTTTATTGCAACAGTAAGGTTGGCTCCTGATTTACTAGTGCCCGGTGTAAATACAGTGAAGCACAAAAAGGTACAAAAACTTTTCAGTCCTGTCTGTACAATAATTTCTTTAGAAATGTCTAGAATTCGAGCCCTAGCAGCTCTTCTGATGAATACCTCATTCTAATCTTTGAAACATTTGTTTTGTGGCAGAAGATTAATCACAGGAAATCATCTATTCTCAAGGTCTTTGGTTCAGTTTTTGTTGCTGGAAGATACGTGTATTTAAAAGCCAGTGAGCATCTCCTCCTCCTGGGAATGTACATATTGCCTTCATCTGTCTCCCTTTATGAGCCTGCTGCATGTTGACAAGTCCTATAGAATTGTTTCCAGCTTGTTTGGATGTTTTTTCCCCTTATTTAACTGTAGGCACAATGGCAAATCACAGTTGCAGTATAAAATGATTTTGCTGGGAAATGAGCGTGATGAATTCAATGCCGTGCTGGTTACTTGCTGTATTTCAAGGCAGAAGAGCTATATTTGATCTTGGGGGTGGAAGAGAAAAACCACAGTGTGCAGGCTGGTGACTGCTCTGTTGCTAATTTATTGGCAGTTTGGGGGGGGGAAAAAAAATCTGCATTTTCTTTTTATTTTTTTAGGCCAGATATTAGCATGAATTATGGTGCTGGCTTATTTCAGCAAGAGTCAAGTGGAAAATTTAACTCCGTGGAGAGTTGTGTGTAGTTCTGAGCCATAACTAAGACTTTTAACTGTCACACTCCTGCAAATCATAATAAAGAGTAATAGGTAAAAAGCCACTGCTCCTTTAAATCAGTGTCACCAGTGACTCAGAATTTCTAACGATTTTTTTTTATTCCTACCAACAGTTTCAATTAAGATTCAGCAGATCCACACTGAGAAAACCCTGTATAAAATGCTTCATGATATTTTAGTTTAATACTGCTTTTAAAATTCTGTTGAAGAAATGAGCATTTAAAAGTAATTAGATCTGTAACGCATTAAAACATCAATCTAAAGACTAGTATAAAGCCCGATTCATAGCTCTTGTTACTATTTTTTTGAGTATATAATTACTACAATGTATAAACATATATTTCATCAACTTTTTTCAAACAACAGCTATACAAATTTAGAAGTCAATTATATTCACCCAGACATACTACTTTCTGAATATGGGAGAATTACAGCATGGTTTTGGAAATTAAAAAAAACACCCAAACCCACACCATGGTTTCCCTGCAGATAGTGTCTCTACCAGCAAATCATCTGGACAAAATGATTACAGGTTCTTTGTCTTTACCCTTTGTAATGCAGTACGCAAATTTCAGTGCTTCATCTGCACATGAACCGTTTGCTAATTTGGGGGTACATCGCACATTTGTCAGGCCCTTTACCTGTGTTTGTGCATTCAGAGGAGGCTGACTCCAGATGTGCAACAGCTGTTGTTCCACATGGGATTGCATGACCGTATTCCGCATGGAAGCCTGGTGGAAGGAGGGCTCCGTCATTCTCCGGGAGATCTTGAAAGCTGCGGAAAAAGAAACGAGAAGGGCAGCCGTTAGGGAGAAGAGCAAGATGCATGTGTAGAATAAATGCATATTAATAAAAAGGTTTGTCTCCTGAGTCACTGTGCTTCTCATTTAGATTTCCATATTGGCGTGTGGCAGCTGCTGTAATTGCTTGCATTAAAAAGTAATGCTGGGAGCGTGATATATTTTTAGTTCTCACTACAGCAATTTAACAACTAGAAACGGCGAAAAAAAAGCTAACGCCGTACTATCAGCTAGTTTTCTAAAGACTGCCTGAGATCTGTGGGTCGCAATTTAGAGACCTTTGGCAAGAAATCTTGAAGTACATGTGTATCTCTGGAATTTCTGTCAGAGATACATTTGTAGGTGATATATTTGTTACTTGGTAAACGTAGATATTTCTGAAGTCCTCTGCCACTTCACAGATTAATCGTCCATTTTCATTTTTATTTGATAGGCTCTCATCCCATTTCCTAAGCAGACAAGAAGTTTTTCTTTGCTTTCAAGGTTACATGCTGAGGAACTTCACATGTTAAATGTAACTTCGCTGCCACCAACCTTTGAAAGCCTCTGAGAAGTGCATTAACTCACCTACACAGTTGGTTTTCTACTGGTTTGGAAATTAGCAGGTTAAAATAAAAGAGCTGAAATGCATATCGTGCATAGCAAGTGAAGCATGTTAAGAAATAAATTGCTGGTGTTCTTTTATGCAAAGAAGGATTAATTTCTCGAAGCTACACTGAAGTGGGGGTTGAAATTCCCTGTATTGTAATTTTAAAATGCCAGAGTAGGAAGAAACCTTTAATATTGGGTGGTGTCTGAAGCTCATGACAGGCTCTAGGCTAACAAGCTATCAATTGTTTGCATGTTTAAATATCTAATTTATTAAGAAGCTGGGGGGGAATTTGACATCACTGTTCTAAAGCTTTTCCTTCTGAGGACAGTCTGAGGTGTTCAGTCCGTAATTTCAGTGTTGTAGCATTTCATCATTGAAAGGCTAATGTGCTTTGCACATTTTCCTGAAGAAATGGATTATATTGTAAATCTCTGTTGTAAAGAGTAATGAGCATAAAGCCTGGTGCAAGGAGGTTTTTATTATGGAGAAATGCCACCTCTCTAAGGCTAGCACTCCCCAAAAACAGGAGGCCACCATCTGATGTATTTCAGTGCTGCTGGGAACCTTGTCTGTCGCTTACCTGTGCGGCAGCTGTAATAAGAAGGACTGGGGAACAACATTGCAAATTGAATATCTAGATCTGGTCTTCGTGAAGGTGATGCAGTGGCCTTGGAGATGAAAGAAGAGACAAGAATTCCTAGTTCATCTCCAGGAGCCCTTGTGTCATGAACAGAAACAATACCAGTAAAAAGGCTGAGTAGGAAACCTCCTTTATGGAAAGGAAAAATGTGAGAGGGGAGAAGTGAGATGAAAAATAGCCACAGCAGGAGAACTGAAAAACTCGCCAGGTCAAAACAATAGGAAAAATGGCAAAGAACTTCAAGAAGAGATTTAAAAAAGAAAAAAAAAAGGCAAAAAATTTAAACAAAAAAAAAGTAATTGAAATTCAAATCAAAAAAACTAAGCACTGAGGAAGTGGAGAAAAAGATTCAGAGAAAAGATATTGATTTAGCTTTAGCCTGTGCCTCTTTGTGAAACGTGAATTTAGAAGACCTTTGGTAACCAGATCAGTAAAATCTTTAAAATCATTTAATTAGATTGAAGGTGGAAAGATAAACTCTTGTGATAAAAACTTCCACCTTTATTTTCCAGAACTGCATTACAAAGTGCTCACTACACGCTTACCTTCCAATTGATTTTCTTTCAAGCTGAGTTAAAACGTGCTACATTTGGACAGAAGAAGGCATTGATGTACCTTCTGATTTAGAAATGTAAAATACAAGCAGTGGTCTCTTAAGGGCAATAAAACCATGGAACAAATAACAAGTCTGCAGAATTCAAGAGGAAGCAACTTTGTGTCTATGTATGAGACAAAACTACAACTACTAGCTGTGGAGGAAGACTGGCTTTATTTCCAGTTGCTAAAACTGGAGAATTTCTTTCTTAATTTAATGCTTCCTTTTATTCAGGTTGTTCAGGTGTCAAATCAGAAGCACGCTGCGTTTGCATTTAGGGTTTTAGTTGTATGTCGTGATTTTATGAAAAGAGATCAATGATCCTAAACATGGTGTTTTTTAAAATGCTGTGGGCTTTATCACACTGGTTTTTACATTGGTAAACGTGTAGCTATTATTTGCATTCATATCGCTGTTTTAATTTTTCTTTGGAAAAAAGCAAACATCACTGTACTTTTTTTAGTCTAATAGTCTTATATTGTATTTACTGAATATGGACTCTTCTGCCTATAAGATACACCTGTGGAAACAAAATAACTTCACTGATAATATTCTGAAGGGATATTGTCCTGCACCTTTCTAAAGCCTGCTTTCTTGCATCTTCAAGTAGTAATTCTTGTTAAACCTGAAGTATGTGGAACACTCCTTGTGCACCATCATACACATAAGCTTTAAATTACATAGGGACGAGCTCGACAAATGTATTCAGGCTCCGACCTTCTTTCCCGAAGAGGACTGAAGGTCGCTTATTGAGACTTGGTTTGAATCCTGAGTGGATTTCTCTGTCTTCATGTTTTAAAAAGTGCTCATAAAAACAGTTATTTGTGCTCTGTTACTACATTATAATGCCAAAAGAGAGATCATTGAAATTTATATTTTTACATTAAAATATCTAAGAGAAGGCCTTAGAGTCTGATCTTTACTGTGCTCTGGGAACCAGCAGAGGTGGATCAAAAAGCTTTTTCAGCCCTTAGCTGAGTAAACTGGGAGATTCTGGGTTCATTTGGGTTGAGTTTGACCTTTTTAAGAGCAAGGGCTTTTCTTCCACCTGAGCGTCAGGCTTTCGGAATAAAGTTTGTGTTCAGACATGGGTTTTAGTATCTTTCCTTCACAGTTGCTTGGGTTTCAGCATTTCAGTAGCATGTGTAACTAAAATTCAAAGTGTCCTCGAGCAAAAATAGAGTATGAAAAACTTAATTCAGAAGACTGCATCTATTTCGCCTTACGATTTGTTTGCAGCTAACCTTTGATAAAGGCCAGTTCATACTTGCAGATTTTTAGAATTCATTTTGAGTGTGTGCTTGTCTGAACTTTTTGTTAATTCTCTTTTCATTTTCTTTTTGCAGATTACAGATAGAAGAATCTTCTAAACCCGTAAGGCTATCTCAGCAGCTGGACAAAGCCGTAACCACAAACTATAAACCAGTGGCTAATCACCAGTATAATGTAAGTAGCTTTCAATATTTTCTCATCTTCTCCTCCTCAGGAGAAGTCTGTCTCAGAACTCCAGAACTGCTCTACTACTGTCCTGCAGCTCTTGCACACCCAGTTGGTCACTGTTTTTTTAGAAATGCTCCTTGTTACCTGGTTTCTTCCAGATTTTGTCTTCTGTGGATCTTCTTTCTGTCTCAAGACCAGTATCATCCTTGGGGCCAATTCTAATTCTCTGGTGTTACCTGCTGGAGGACAGACCACCTTTACCCAAGCCCTTTCCAATGGCTTTATTAGGTTCTTCCTCCAGTCTTTTTTTTAAAAAAATGCTAATTTTTAAGTTTAGGGATAAAAGGCAGTTCTGGCTTTGTGCTATGAGATGTGGAAGCTCTCCTTTGAGCCAAATAAAATATCATATGGAGGTGGGTAAAAGACATGAAAAGAGTCATTAATTTCCAGCCCTTTGCAGGAGCTGACAAGGAGTAGAAAAGAATAACAGCTGATAATTTTTCACAGTTTCATACCCTCATAGTACATGTTATTTGCATCATTGGCTTTGTCAATATTACACCCACATTACTGTTCCAGATCAGATGATGTATATACAAACTATAATGTCCTTTTTCTTAAAGATCCTCTTTGAGTAATTTGTATGTATGCATATATAATTGATGCTGCTGCTGAATGTGAGAAACGTTAAGTCATACTGAAAATGAGTCACTGTGATAATCACTTAAACTTTTACACTTTTTATTAAGATTTTATTTACATAAAACAAATTGCAATATACTGGATGATATTTAAGTGTTATTCTGAAAGGCAGTCTATTTCCACAGGACCAAAAATAATTGTTTCTCTCTCATGGGACTGTTTTGTAGTAGTTACTGTTCAAAGTCTGGTCTATACATAGATGATCGTACTGATGTAACTGTTTCAGCTGAGGGAATGACATTTAACCAAAATAGTCACACTGGTATATCCTGCTATGTAAATGCGGTTTTCTATGATTATATTGTTTTATGATGCTACTCTTATTCTCCTTTAAGTCTGGAATAAGCTACAGTGGTGTACAGCTTCTGTTTTTAGTGGGATTCGGTGCCATTTCCCTGACACTAGCGTAATTACGACTGATAATTCAACCTGGAGACAATCTCTGAATCTTTATTCCCGTTGCAAACTGCTGTTGTCGTATCATTACAGAAATCAAAGTCTTGTGTGAGATTTGGAGGTATAACCCGGACATAACCAGGTTTCTTAAAAGTTATGATGCTCTTGGGTCCTAATTTTAGTGCTTTTATGGGTTACACAGCTGTCCATGCTAATAGAAATCCACTGGCAGTGTGTTTACTTTTCATGTCTGTCTTAGATGTTTTGATGGGGAAAATCTAATAGGACATACTTGTGTTTGAGTCACTCTTGGCCTTGTCTTGACTCTTAAAGGCTCAGGCCCGACTACTTTCTACATCATCTTTCTTTTCATTAAGTCTTTTATTAAGATTGAGGTTAGGTGGCTGAAAGGACGTACAGCTGGGAGAACAAGTCCATGAACTTTTTGAACCTCTCAGTTAAATTTTTCTGATGTTTTCAAGCAGCAGTCGCTTTCTTAAGACTTGCTGCATTGCTTATAATCATACAGCAGCTGCTGGGGACAAGACTTTTCACAAGAAAGAAAGAAGAATGTACAAATTACTGGACATGCTGAGACAGTCAGTCATCTTCTGGGGAGTTTCTGGGGAAAGAATGACTATTTACTAAATAAGAAAGAAAGGGATAACATTTCCTGAGGAAATAGGTCATAGAGTATTAAATGGGGCTTAAGTGTGGCTGCCTCAAGTACCACTAAATGAACATACAACAGGAAGGAAGAGGGAAATAAGTTACATGTGTATGGGAAGTAGCAATAGCTTGTTTGAAAACAAGTATGAGGAAGATGATTCTTTTTTTGCAAGAAATTATATTAAGCCTACCTTTTTATTGGAAGAAATTGCAGTTCCATTACAATAGATGCTAGGATTGTAACTTTGCTTTTTTTCTCTGGGAAAGGGACCTTCATTTTCTTCATTTTCTGTTGCACATGTTTATGAGGTTGCAAAGTTAATATTCTTGCAACTGCAATCTTTCTGTGACTTAATTATTTTTCCTAATGCAGCAGAAAGGTTCTCTAGTGGTCCTGGTTCCTCCATCAGAGCCTTCTTAGTGGTATCCCCTCTTGCCGCTCTTGTGTATCCTGGAGGTTGGTACCTGGGCTCCAGGGGATGGGAAAACCTTTAAGATTTCTTTCAAACATCTTCAGGTGGAACTTTAGATTTTGTCTCACTTCTCCATCACCTGTGTATATTAGCTGTCTACTGAAGCAGTGTAATACATCGGTTTCAGTATTAATGATACCTTCAAGAAGGCAATTTTGGCAGCTTTTCAACAACTGTAGCAACATCCTGGGAAGGTGAACAAAGAGAAATTGATTTCTATATGAAGTCTTGCGGGGATAAACTCACAGCTACACTTGACAGCTTGTTCTAAAATGGTCCTTCCTTGAAATCAAATTGCATGTCAAATTTTTTTAAGTTTAAAACGCACATTATTTTAAAGAAATTTAATTAATTTATGGTGTACATGTGTTCTGTAGTATGATTCGCAAAAAGCACTTTAAGCCTCCTGCATAAAGCATCCTGTTTTCAAAGAAAACTGGAAGGAAGATAAATGAAAGGCAGCATTGTAACTTACTAAAAGTGATGTATTCACAAGACAAAAAGAAGAAAACAGCAATAGATACCACATTTGTGGGTTTTTTAATAGCACTTCACAACGTGTTCTGTGTTTTTAGACAAAAATGGGAGCTGTTCCTGAAGTCGGAGGGGAAGGCTAGGGTGTTGCTAATTAAATGGGGGCAACTGGGATGCCAGCTGCAAATAACCTTTTGACAGAGGAAAGGTTTGATATTCAGTTTTCGGTGCGAGTTGATGTTGTGTATTAATAAATTAAGAGTATTAGACTATTCACATTGCATTTGTTTAGGGAATGCAAACACTTCTCTTGATTTACTTTAGCTCATCCACAGAATGTAAAATAGAACCTCCTACTCGGGAGAGTGTATTGAGGCACTAAAATGACAGAGAAAGAAGAATGCTGGGTGGACACTACAATTTACTAGCAAAAAAAAAAAATTATGCTTTAGTTAGAAAACTTCATTCATGTTATTTTCCAGGAGACTGTTATTTGTATAATTTTATACAAATAAAAGATTTCATACCCAGGCATGAAATAGTCCTGTGAGAGACATAATGGTGAGAATTTCTTTATTGTTACTTTGGTGGTTTTTTGTAAAAAGCGTCAATTTTAAAGCAAGCAGGGATTTTTTCCTCCAAATGGAGAAGCTTGCTGGCTAAGCACATTTCCCCTAGATGTCATTTGAAGTGATACAAACAGTTCCATGGATTGTTTGTTGTTGTCCTCAGAGATTGTCCTGAGAGTCCCAGTAGCTTTTCCCATTACGCCTGTGTTACTTACCCATTATTCCCACAGCATGGCCGTGTACAGAAGGAATAACCTCAGTGCTTCGCTCTTTTCTCGCTCCTTAAAAGTGAAAGAAAAACCAGAAAAGGAGGAGGTCAGTTTCTTTCATCATTTCAGCTTGACCTTCCACCTGAGAAGGCTGCAGTTTGTACTTTCTTGTTCATTTTGGTTTTGTTGTTTGGGGAGGTAGAAAAGTGCGGAAGCGTTGGTAAGAACAAGCCTAACGCTGCTGCTGGGACAGGGTGATGCAGCCTATAACCTGGATGTCTTCATCTTTCACCCCAGATCTTCCAACCTGTGTATTCTTGAGTCAGAGAAAAGTTGCTAACCTCAAAACCAAACATGTAGCTCTTTACACTGAGAAATGACCTCAGATGTGTGCAGGAACCCAGAACCCAGTCAAGCATTGCAAATAGAAACACCTTCATCTCTCCTGCCATCTTCTAGACTTCATAGAATCATAGAGTGTCAGGGGTTGGAAGGGAACTCTAGAGATCATCTAGTCCAACTCCCCTGCCAGAGCAGGATCCCCTAGGGCAGCCACACAGGAACTCGTCTGGGTGGGTTTTGAAAGTCTCCAGAGAAGGAGACTCCACAACCTCTCTGGGCAGCCTGTGCCAGTGCTCCGTGACCCTCACAGTAAAAAAGTTTCTCCTCACATTGAGGTGGAACTTCCTATGTTCTAACTTAATCCCATTATTCCTTATTCTATTGCTGGGCACCACTGAGAAGAGATTGTCTCCTTCCCCTTGACCCCCACCCCTCAGATATTTGTATACCTTAATAAGGTCCCCTCTTAGCCATCTCCTTGACCTCTAAAGTGCCACATGCTTTTCTGGCAGCTAATTAAGGCTGGATAATCCATCTCCTCCTGTTGTAAAATGTTAACATAAGCATGTATTCCAAACACTTTTTATGTCCCTGGTACTGGTCTCCATAAGCCAGTGTCTCAAATGTAATAGGACTCTCTTGAAAGTCCAATAGAGTGTTGTGTACTGGTCTCCACCATGACTTGATCACCAACTGCACAGAGAAACTGGAAGATTTTGTGGATCCCTGAATCAAAAAAGGCTGAAAACTCAGACTGAAGAAAGCCCACTGTGGTTAATTGCAGTGGCTAATTAGAAAACTCTGCTTCAAGGAGAATATGGTGACAATGTCTTGATTTTTGAAGAGGACTCCATAAAGTTCTAGTTGTTCTTTCCTTCCCATGTAGTACAATATCCTTACAGGACTGGTAATTCCTCTGTTTGTCCACCAACTACCACAGGAAAAGAATCTGAAGCAGTTTTCAAACAGGACCAAAAAATATTTATTGTACCCAACTAGATTAGATTATTTTTAATAATGCTTGAATTGCTGTTGTTTACACATTTTCTTCTGAAAACATATCAGGGGTTAGGGCTGGACTGGCCACTGGACAAATGAGAAATAATCTCTGTTAACCCCCCTTCCCTCCCAAAGGGGAAGAGAAAGGGAATAAGAGAGAGAGACTATCAGTT